CCCTGATAAAAAAAAAAAAAAAAAAAAGCACAAAACAAAAAGAATAGCATGCTATTTAGCATATTAGAATATATGACAGACTTGTTACTTATACATCTTTCAAAGTGCTATAAGTACTAGGTATATGATTTTATTTTGTAGATATCAGGGAACCCCTGGAATTTGTAAGCATGTCAATATGAGCCTGTTTACTTTTGGGGAATAAATCTAGTGATATAGAAGATGGTACAGCTTGAAGGCTGGGAGGCCAATTAATTCAGGGGTTTATGCAAGTAATAGGACAGCAGTATTATTAATATTACTTAAGGAGGCTGAGGTGTCATGTGACAGTCTTTAAATTATCGTTTGGAGCCCAAGGGTACCTCAGGAGTCACATAGAAAGGATGGGGATGGGAATTTAAGTAATACTTAGGTCTTTAAACTCCTACCTAAAGAACGCCTGCTTTTATCTGCTACACACACTAGTCTTCTGAATATAATTTTGTGCTGAAATAAAGAATACTGAAGGTAAAAAGAAATTTGAAAGCCACTTAGTAGCCTAACCTTTATCCAAGAATAGTTCATACATGTAATCATATAGCTGCTTCCAGAATGCCAGGGAGCTAGCTCACTAACACAAAAAATTGGTTCTATTGTTGGATAGTTTCCAATGATTACAGAGTTCTCCTACCTGGAAATCCGGCAGATTATTAATTCTGAGTTTTCAGTTTCCTGTGTCCAGTAAATAAAGATCTGGGATGTACTTGTAAAAGACCGTGGGTTCAGTTTCTAGTACCACAAAAATAAATACATGCATTCTCCTGTGGGGATATACTCATGATCAAACGAGGTTTGTTTCTAACCCTAAAGACAGAGTTTGAAATTGACTTTGTAACTTAGCCTCAAAGAGGTTAGACCCAGTATTTCGAAGTTTATAATGGTTCTAAGCACTGCTTCAAGCACTTTGATGTAGTTGCTTTACAGACAACTTTGTCTTGCTTTTTTTTGTCTTTCCAGCTACATTATTGAGCAGGGAGTGTGTTATTTGGTTTTGTGTGAAGCTGCCTTCCCTAAAAAGTTGGCTTTTGCCTACCTAGAAGATTTGCATTCAGAATTTGATGAACAGCATGGGAAGAAGGTGCCTACTGTGTCTAGACCTTATTCTTTTATTGAGTTTGGTAAGTTTTGCCCCTCACTTCTCAAGGGATTGAACTGCAGTGAAGCTATTTGTTACACTACTGACACGTTTGTTTGTTTGTTTGTTTGTTTGTTTGTTTGTTTTGAGATACGGTCTTGCTATTTGATTCAGGCTGTCCTTGATCCCATAACAATCCTCCTGCCTCAGCCTCCTGAATGCTGGGATTACAGGTGTGCTTCACCATGTTGGCTTTGACACATTTTTTTCCCCCTGTGTTTACTACTGAAATTTTGGCTTCTCCTTTTTCTCCAGTCCTTCCACTTCTTTACTCTGGTTTGTTTGTTTGTTTGTGGTACCAGAGATCAAACTTATGTTTGCAAGGCAGGCAGTGGAACCACTGAGCTAAATCCCCTGCCCCTCTTTTTGTCTTTTTGAATCACATTTTTCTCTAGTCCCTTGATCTTTTCACTACCGAACTTGCCTCTTGATTTTGTTCCCCACAGAACTTATCCCTTGACTTGATTCTTGATTAGGGTCATTTGTGACAGGAACTATGTATGAAGTTCTCTACTTGGTTGGCTTGTAACAGCCGAGTTCTTCTGTAGACAGATACTAACTCCATTTTATGGAGATCAGAATTTAGAAACCAGAAAGAATGGTATTTTGATTTTTTTTTTTTTTTAGTAGAATAAGATCCACTAAAAAAATATTAGAAGACATATAGTATAGATGGTATTGGAGGATAATATTTACTGTATTAAGAAGTAACAAGCATGGATGTCTGTATTTGTACAAGAATTATAGAAAGACTCAATGCTAGTCGGGCCTAATAAAGTATACTTAATATACACTGAGTATAGGGAATGAGTACAAGTAGGGTCAGGCTACATCACTGGTATTTTTAGTTAAGAAATTAGGTGTATTCAGATTTTATGAAATGTTTCAAATTTGCTAGATAAAGTGGGTCATCTTGCTTTACAGAAGTAGAAAAATTGACAAAACACTCCAGTGTTTTATAACTAAACTCTAGATTATATAATGTCTAGTTTTTCAAATTTTATTTTTGTAGATAATAACAGCCCAAAGGAAAAAATATATGAATCACACAGGAAATTAATGGTACACTCAAATTAGTATAAGGAGCTGCGCACAAAGAAATGAATAGGCTACAAGGCAACCACAAGATAGAGTAACCTGGGGTCAGTAACGCAGTAGTCGCTACCATCCCCAGGCTAAAGATATAAGGGAAAGATCAGTTTCTGGACCTGAAAAAGACCACTTATAAAGGAGACCAATTTGAGAAGAGCAGTGGAGCGATACTCTGAGGCCAAAGGGATTTGTTGGGAAGTCGGGAATAGATATCCTGCCGTCACTGTCTGCCCTCCTCCTTCCCTACTGTCGCATCCCTTCATCGCCTGATCCTAATTGGAGACCAGCGGGGAAGGAGCCCTTTAATGTGCGCCGTATAGGTTAGGTTCCCAAAGCAGAAAGCAAGGTACAAAAGGAAGGGTAGAAAGAGGAGCTGAAGAGGCAAAAAAAAAGGTGTCCAGTACACATAAATTCATATTTTACCGAAGTTGAAAGTATCTACAGATCATTCTTCTTATAGTTTTGAGAAGCACATAGGCTATAGACGGATGAGCCTGCAGCTTTATATTGTTATTTTGGGACACTCGTTGTCCATAAACCTGAAGTTTAAGAATAGGGCCACATTGAGAAAGTATATTAAAGAAAATACTTCAATGAAGTATTTCTCAACTATGTTAGCTATAATGGTGGGAGAGGCTTTTTTTGCCAGTGTCGCTTTAGGAAAGGTGTTAGACTTAAGTAATAAAACTTTAAGGACTCTCCAAATACAGTTTGAAATTTTTGGCTTTCAGGAAAGCCTGATGCTAGTGGATCTTATATCCCTCAGGATTCTGTCCCTAAGTAAATCATCTAATTCAGAGCTATCTGCCTTCATTACTTTTCTCATTGCTAAGACAAAATACCCAACACCCAAAGTTAAAAAAGGAAGGGTTTATTTAGCTCACAGTTTGTAGAGGATTCAGTCCATAATCGGCTGGCTCCAGGGCAGGATGGTGTGGCAGAGGGGCAACAGTTCATGGTGGGCAGGAGGTTAGCAAAACAACAAGAGACTTTAACAGCGTCTTTCTGCCCTTTTTATCTTATCCAGACTACAGGCATTAGGGCAGTGCCAAACCAATCAGTGGACTGATTTAGTAATCACATACCGTTAATCCCAGTGTCACACACCCTAGGTCCAGCCACCTCTGAAAAAGCCTCATGACCACATGAAGCTTTGGGGGGACATCTAGACACACGCCATAATAGTATTCAGAGGATATTTCTCCTCCGTGGTCATCTAGTCACATCTTTGCATCTTACAAATGAGAGAATCAAAACCACCCAGGTGTTTTTGGTTTTTGAGACAGGGTCTCACTATGTAGTTGAGACTGACCTGGAACTCACTATGTAGCCCAGGCTGGTCTCGAACGCACAGCGATCCTCCTGCCTCCTCAGCCTCCCGAGTGCTGGGATTACAGGGATGCACCACCACGCCCGGCAAAACAACCCAGGTTTTTATATTCTCCCCAAGTGTTTAAACTATGGACATTGCAGAGCCAGGAGTGAACTGAGAACTTCTGATGCCTCACTTCATTACTCTGGTAGATAAGAGAGAAGTTGTTAATGGTCCCTGTCCTCCATCATTGTAGATACCTTCATTCAGAAAACCAAGAAGCTCTACATTGACAGTCGTGCCCGGAGAAACCTCGGCTCCATCAACACCGAGTTGCAGGATGTGCAGAGGATCATGGTGGCCAACATTGAAGAAGTGCTGCAACGGGGAGAAGCACTCTCAGGTATCTGAAAGCAAGGTCTTAGAAGAGGTAGTTCCCGTACCACAGGCAGGGCAGGTGATGTGGCAGTGTCTTTTGTTTTTCTGAGATTCCATGCAGGACTGTTAAACTTTCACGTGTGAGAGATAGATTGCATTGTAAAGCCTTCCTGTGTGATAGATTTTTTTCCTGACATCATTAGTTTGTTTGTTTATTTGTTGAGACAGGGTCTTGAAATGTAGTCCAGGCTGGCCTTGAACTCACACAGATCCTCCTGCCTCCGCCTCCTAAGTGTTGGAATTACATTATCATGAACAGATGTTGGATTTTGTCAGATACTTTTTCTGTGTCATTTTCGAGCATCATGACTTTTCTGTTTGCTTCTGTTAGTGTGAAGTAGTACATTTACATATGTAGTATGTTTGTGTATGTTGAACCATCCCTGCATCCCTGGGATAAATCCCACTTGGTCATGATGTATTTATTTATTTTTTTTTTATAACATGCTGCTTCTTGTTTATTGTATCTTGTCAATGATTTTTACATTAATGTTCATTAAAGAGATTGGCTTATAGTTTTCTTTTTTGGTTGGATCACTTTCTAGTTTTGTAATCAGGGTAATGCTAGCTTCCAGGAATGACTTTGGGAGTATTCCTTCCCTTTCAGCTTCATTAAAGAGTTTGAGGAGATAGGTATTAGATCTTTTCTAAATTTCTTGTAGAATTCAGAAGTTAATTCATCAGGGCCTAGACTTTTCTTAGTACTTTTTAAATTTTTCTTTAATCGATTGCCTGATATTCTTGGTTCAGCTTTGGTAGTTCACGAATTCTCCATTTTATTAGATACAAGTTTTTAAAGTAGTTATTAATAATTTTCTGGATTTTGACAAGAGTATTGTGATTTCACCTTTTTTCATTTTTAGTTGCAATGATTTGGGTCTTTTCTTTCCTTTTTTTTTTTTATAAGATTGGCTAGGGGTTTACATATTTTGCTTATTCTTTCAAAGAACCAGTTCTTTAATTCATTGATTCTTTTTTTGCCTCAATTTCATTGCTTGTTCTTTTAGCTTCCTTCCTTATACTAGCTTAGGCTTTGAATTGTTCTTGTGTTTCTAGGACCATGATGTATATTATTGGATTTTTTATTTGGGCTCTTTTTAATTTTTAAATGTGGGCATTTGCAACTATAAAATTACCTCTTAGGACTGCTTTTATTGTATCCCATAGGTTCTGGTATTTTGTACCAGCATTATTCTTCAGTTCTAGTAATTGTCTAATTTCTTCCTTGATTTCTTATGTGACTTATTTATTATTCAATAATGCATTGTTTAATTTCCATGTGTTTGCATAATTTCTGTGGTTTCTTTTGCCATTGATTTCTAATTTCATTGCACTGTGATCTGATAATATGCATGGGGTAATTTCAGTTATTTGGTATTTATGTAAGCATGTTTTATGGGCTAGCATGTTGTCTGTTTTGGAGAAAGTCCCATGCGCTGCTGAGAAGAATGTATTTTGTTGTTGGGTGGAACACTGTAGAAATCTATTAAGACCATTTGTTCAAAGGTTTGATTCAACTCTACTATTTCTTTGTTGATTTTTTTGTCTAGTTGATCTGTTCACTTGTGAAATGGGTATTGAGGTCCCCATTGTAATTGTGTTGGTGTTCATCTAATTTTTTATGTCCAGGTGTGTTTGTTTTATGAAGTTGGGCACATTGGTGTTTGGTGCATATATGTTTATAATTTTTTTTATTAATTTTATTGGTACATTTAAAGCAAACAGTACAGTTATATTTATCATTGGGATCTGTACCTTTACATGATATATCTTGGTTCTTGTTTTTTTGTTATCTCTTCCTGTTGAATTATTCTCTTCGCCAGTATGATCATCGTACAACATGGACAGGTTTTGATTTTGGCTATTTGGTGTTCTATATTTCTCTCTCTATGTTTAATTCATACCAATATATGGAAAGCTTTCTGCTATTATTTCTGTAAACAGCTTTTTAAATGCCCTTTGTGCTGTCTTCTGATTTTTCATTTATTCCAGGCAATATTAGATTAGGCTTCTTTGCATCATCCAGTAGCTGTTGGATCATCCATTTATTGTGTTCTGTTATTGCTTCTAAAGTATCTCTGAATTAGTCTGTGAAAGCACCCTCTCTTCTAACTCTGATACTCTGTCCTCACTTCTGCTCATGAATGCCCCATGGGTCAGCTTTGGAAGGGCTGGAAATTTTAGGAGGCATTTTGTTACCTTGACTTCTTAAGTTTCTATTATTTTGTATTTGTTTTTTCATTTTATTTTGTAGTTAGGTATATGGTCAGTTATATGGAAAGACTTTGTTGCTAATATGGAGTTCTCTTTAGGTAGTCTGCTTTCATTGGTGTACTTAAGGCATGGCTAACTCTAATCCTTTGCCTCTGTCCCAAGATCAATCCCCTCTGTTAATGTGGGAGGAAGGGATGCATTGTAATTGGCCCAGCACCCAATTATTCTCTGGGAATAGACCACAGTATTTGTTAATGTCACAAAGGTAATCTAGATTTTGGCATATAGAGAAAGCCTATTAATATATCAGATATACATAATGATAACATTCATCGTAGGGAATTTGTACCAGTACATGCTATATGCTATATCTTGCTTCTTCTTGTTTTTCCCACTCCCTCTTCGACCCCTTTTCCCCTCCTATATACAAAAGCTTTGTTTCCATTTTTTCCTCCTATTTTCTTTTTTCTTGTTTCCTCTTTCCTACCTGCCCCCCCTGCTCCCTTGTTCCCCTTCTCATTTGTACATTTTCTTCCCATTTTACAATATCTATTATACATTTTAGTCCTTGTTTCTACTTTCAATTTCTCACACTAGAGAAGCAAAGTGGTATTTAAACTTGTGTGTCCAATTTATTTCACTTAAAGGTATGGTTTCAAGGTGTATCCATTTAGCTAGAAATGTCTCAAGTTCATTTTCCTTTATGGCAGAGTAGTACTCCATTGTATAAAAAACCACATCTTTATCCATTTGTTGGTTGTTGGGCATTTGGGCTGTTTCCAAGATTTAGCTTTTACAAACTGTGCTATAATTAGGGGTGTGCATATATCACCATGGTATGATGCTTTTAATTCTTTCAGGAAGATACCAAGAAGGGGAATAGTTGGGTAGAATGAACCTCTAGTTTTAGGACAAACTGAATATTGACCCACCATAAGAAGTAATAATGTGCCACCCTTAGCCTCAGAAAAGAAATCTATGATTATAGTATAAACCTTAAGAATAACCCGATGTTAGCCGGGTGGGTGGCGCACGCCTGTAATCCCAGTACTTGGGAGGCTGAGGCAGGAGGATCACTGTGAGTTCAAGACCAGCCTGGGCTACATAGTGAGTTCCAAGTCAGTCTCAACTACATAGTGAGACCCTGTCTCAAAAAAAGAAAAATCCAGATGTTGACATACAGCAGATATCTACTAAATGTGATAAACTGTACCTCCACTAATGATAGAAAACAATTCAGCAATAGTAACACAGAGTTAACTATATGAAGATTAGTATATCTTAATGTTTATACTATTGAAGATACAGGGTAGGGATGCCGAACCTTTTAGAGACCAGTACTCAAACTGCAACCCATAATCCACTTACTTATAGCTGAGTGCCAACACTACAATTATACCTGAAATCTGAGGTTTTAGTTTAGGAAAAAAACAACTCAAACATTAACATCTTTTGTCTTAAAAGAAAAACAAATAAAATGTGTGCCATATGTTCACCACCACTGATATAGGCGATTTCCCCAGTTTTCCTCGGCATTTAGAATCTTTCAGCAAGTGACTATAGAACACTGACTATATGCCAGGCCCTCTTGGATATAGTAGTAAGCACAATAGTCAAAAATCACTGTCCAAGCCAGGTGTGGTGGTACACACCTATAATCCCAGCACTCATAAGATTGAGGCAGGAGGATTACTGTGAGTTTGAGGCCAGCCCAGGCTACATAGTGAGTTCAAAGCCAGCCTAAATACACAGTGAGATCCTGTCTCAAAAAACAAACAAACAAAAGTCCTGGTCAAATGAGTGTACATTCTAGTAGACTGGCTAGAAACATACCTTGAGCTTGTCATGATTATTTCCCATCCTCCATTTTCTTTCGTGACTAGGTTTTAGTCATGTCCATATGACCACTTGGGAATTTAGATGTGGTTGTCATTCTTGTGCTATTACGTAATGCGTTTCTCAATCAAAACAGTCTCTATTAAGCAAGAACAAGTATTCCAAAAGTATTATCTTAAGAACAAATTGAGATTGCAAAATGGTTTTTCAGAAATTTAAAGAAAAACGTTTGATCATAACTCATTTATGTCGTTTTTTTTATTGTTAAAATATGTCCTGTTTAAAAAAAAGATGCCCTATATTTTAATCTGACTTATCTGGCTATTTCTTTAAATGCTCAGTTATTAGAGGACAACAAAAATATAAATTTTCTGGAGTTGGGAGAGGCAAACTTTTGCAGAAAATACTAAAAACATTTACCAGATAAAAACTTGTTTGCCATAAGTTCAAGGCCAGTCTGGGATATGTAATGAATTCAAGGCCAGTCTGAACTACATAGCAAGACCCTGTGTCAAAAAAACCAAAAAGAAATACAAAGCAAGAAAAAGAAAGAATTGATTATTGTATTTTAATGGCAGTATAACTTTACTGTATTTCTTATAGCTTTTATTCCATAAGCCTTTTCTATGTGGAGAATTTTAGAAATCTTAGCAGTCACTGTTGAAGTATACTTTAACACTCAGTGTGTGATTAGTTGAATTTTGTAGTTATCTGAATGTTAAAGTATGTGGAATTTTCACTTTTCAAAATATGAGATAATGTAATTTAGACTATTACAATATTACAGATGATAATAATTATTAGAAAAATATCAGCAAATATTTATCAAGTGTTTAAGGTGTCACGGTCCCTTTACCTGCAGTCTTACTGCACCTACAATCGCATGATGCAATCGTTGGTATTTTACTGTGACTTGATCAGTATCCCATGGTTGGTACAGCCAATATTTGAACCAAACAGTATGAGGCCAGAGCTCCTAACTACCTCACTACACAACCTCTAAAATTTATGCATAACTTGGTTAGATAATTTAAAAATGTATTATATTGGGGTTTTTTTGTTTTTGGTACCGGGGATCGAACTCGGGTCCTTGCGCTTGCGAGGCAGGCCACCGAACCGCTGAGCTAAATCCCTGGCCCTAAAATGTATTGTAGATTTTATAGTGATTAAGTATCACAAGTTAATCAGCACGTGCAACCTTACCCTTAAAATAAAAATAATTTTAAGCTTCATGGTTTTTGTTATTGGACCATTCATTTTGCTTATCTTTATGCCTTAATATTTTTGATAAAATACTTCCAAAAACTAATGACTGTTTTCCTTTTTCCTCTTGACAGCATTGGATTCAAAGGCTAACAATTTGTCCAGTCTGTCCAAGAAATACCGCCAGGATGCGAAGTACTTGAACATGCGTTCCACTTATGCCAAACTTGCAGCTGTAGCTGTATTTTTCATCATGTTAATAGTGTATGTGCGGTTCTGGTGGCTGTGAAGTAGTAAATGCAGTCACTAGAAAGGGAGACCCTAGAACCTGGCAGGTGTGTGTTTTCAGGAAGCTTAGCTCACAGGGATATGTATTAGAACCCAAGTGAAATTTCTGCCTCTAAAGACTTTGCAAGAAAAGACGTCCTGAAGATGAGAGATCATGCCTCATTTAATGAAGCTTAACCCTATGTGGAAAGTCTCTTGGGCGCAGAGGCTTTCTCAGGGTGCTAAGCCTTATATGTTAGGGAACAGTAGATTGTTTTGTTTCTTTCCTTCCTAGTAAGATTTTTAAACAGCACTGACTGGGGCTTTCTGATCCCCTAATAGAGCCATCAATGCCATTTAAGGTACCTAACCCGTGCTAGCAGCATTCTGAAATTCCTTCAAAGAAGGCAGCCCTTTGGGAATTTTTTTTTGCCTTTAAGTAACATTCCTTTTGTTGGTGACCTTTGTGATTTTCAGTAATCTGAGTGTTTTTTTGTTTTTTTGGTACCGGGGATCGAACTTGGGTCGTTGCGCTTGTGAGGCAGGTGGCAGAACCACTGAACTAAATCCCCAACCCAGTAATCTGAGTTTTTAATGGCCTTTCAAACCAGACTCCAAATATGTGAAGGTTAATTGCTTTGCTGCACAGATCCTGTCTCTTGGCCCCTGGAGGAAGTAACCTTTTGTTGTTTTTCTTTTATGATATTTCGCTTCTTTCCTAGTTGCTTTAGAGTTAAATAAATTATGTTAAGATGCCTTGAAATTACATAGCACTGTTTGACTAAAAAGCTAGTTTTTTCTCATTTATGCTTTGAACAAAAAAGATTTTAATTAGTTTGGGACATTATTGAATTTATTTTTCAGCATTTGTTTTATTTTAATATAATAGCAAGTATAGCCTAGTGCAGCCAGAGGCCCATGACGTAATAAGAAGAAAGGCCCAGCTCTGAACTGCAGTGTCTTCCCCTTACTCACTTTGTTCGCTACAGCCTTCCCCACTCTGTTTTCCTTCTGCCTCTCTTCGCTAACATTTTAAAAATTGCTGTGCCCAGTAGTTTCACATCCCATAAATATACTCAAGATATTCTCCACTTTTAAAATGGAAAATGCCCAGCTGTGTAATCATTTAGATATACTTATTGTGCAGACCTCCTACTCATCCTTGTGGCTTCATCTGTCTGAGAAGTCTCTGAGAGTGCTTCGTTCCTGTTGTAGTTTATATAAATTCTCCCAAGAATGTTCTAGAGGTGAATAACTCATTTACAGTGGTTTGTAGTAACTAATAAAAGTACCTATGTTTTGTTTTTTTTTTTTCCTTTTTGCTCAGGGATAATAGGAATTTCCTTTTACCTTCTGAGGTGGAGTTTTTTTTAATGGAGAGGATAGATCTCTTGAATGCTATCACAGGGTCTGCAGTATATATAACCTGTACTCCTACACATACCACAAATATTTCCTTAAATTGTGTAAGGAAGATGAGCAAGCTTCTTATTTCTGAACATCTTTGGAGAGATAACTAGTGGGCAATTCTTATGATCCAGAGGAATCATCAGAGCTACAGTTCTAATTCCTAGTAGGGAAACAGTCTTATTTCCTTATAACAAAGGCAAGGAAAAGTGCTTATTTTATTCCTTATAATTTACAAAACTAGAGTAACTTTTTTTTTTTTAATTAGGACCTAAAGTTTGCTCGTTGGAGTTCTGTGCATGAAATCAGAGTTACTTTTTATAGAAAATAAGTGCTTTTACATCCCTGAAAGATTTATTCCTTAAGTAATGATATCGGCAGTAAAAGTTTTTGAAAGACTGAGAACCCAGATGGTGGTTCCATAGCTTATGGTGCTTCTGTAGGAGCGAGGGTAGCTGCTCATTGTTGAAAGTTGCATGCTGCAGCCTAACGATCAGCAATGAAATAAATGTTTCTAGAATGTTCCCTTCAGTGTGAAGTTTTATTACTTAGTTTACTTCTGTACGCATATCCTTGATAAATGCATTTCTACCTAATTTCAGTGGGTTCATTAAAGCGGGGGGTAAATGATGAACGAGAAAGTGGTTTAAGATCAGGGCAAAAATTAGAGAATAAAGCTCAGAGTGCACCCCCTTCTGTTCTTATTAGGAAATAGCAAGACAATCTAACTAAATGAAATATATCCGCAAACCAGACATCTAAAATAGACTATGATAAGTACCATATGAAGTTATTAGAGGTATACTAAGAAGGGTACTTATTTCTATAGAAGGGAAGAATGGGGCATTGTCAGCAATATCTGTGGTCTGTGTGAGGCCTATGAAAAGAATGAGGCACGTTTGGGGAACGTAGCAGGTTGGTTCAGTTTAAGTCAGGATAGGATAAGCAGAAGTGACTGAAGAGACGGGAAAAACTAGACTGGTGTACTGTAGAAAAAGGACTTCTCTACTAAGCTAAGGTGAAGACTCAGAGCTTCAACTAATCATTTGGCCATAAGGAATAAGATTGAAAGTAGGGAGATGAGCTAGGCTTGGTGACTCATGCCTATAATACCAACACTCAGGAGGCTGAGGCAGGAGGATCACTGTGAGTTTGAGGCCAACCTTAACTACAATAGTGAGTGCAGTGCCACCCTGAACTACATAATGAGATCCTATCTCAAAAAGTAAAAAAGGGAGATGAAACTAAGAAGGCTTTAGACACAGAATTAAGCAGCCCAGTTCCAAGTGACTTTCAAGAAAGGATGGATCAGAGGTACTGATCCAACTGTACAAATTCTTTTTAGGAACTTCTTGCATTGACCAAACCTTTTGAAGTATGTTCACACTTCTATGAATAAAGGAACTTAAAGGCTATAGAGCTCTGAGGTACAGGGGAGTTCAGTGATTTGTCCAAAATCACAGAGCTAGAAAGTGATGGAGCCAAGATTAGAACCGAGGCAGCCTGGCTCTGGAGTTTTTATTTTTACCCACTATACTATACAGCCAAGCAATCAAATAAAATGTATACTAAAAATATATTCTAAAATTAGCAAGCAAAAACTGGATCATGCAGGCAGAAGTAATTCTAGAGGGCTGGTAATAGAAGCCATATTCCAGTGGAACCTGGGCCATAACTGATTTGTACCATTAGAATCCAGACAGAACCACTGGCACAAGGAGCTTTTCTGTTCTGTGACATTGAACTTCATGGCTTGTCCTATGAAGACATCTCACAGATGTAAAAATTTAGAAAATCTTGGTACACTGTACCTCGTTTGGTCATTAAACTGTCTAATTTCTTAGCTCTTTGAGGAATCTTTGAAAACCTGATAAAAGGGATGTGCCTTCCCCAGAGCAATATCCACGTGTACGTGTGTGCCATGTGTATACCATTTCCAGCTCCCCAAAGATGAAGCCTGCTCATCTCCTCGCGGTCCCTGATCCCTCAGTTAAGAACTCCAGATATACAGGATGTGGAACTCAAATTTAAGTACCCAAAGGGCTCAGAAACTTGGTTGTGAGTTGGAAGAATTCTATAGTTTGAACAACTTTTTAAATGTGATGTATTGAAAAACTGTACAAAAACATTTGTATCCAATAATATTTTTCTGTACTGCATTCAGAGATTTGGTTATTCTGAAAAAGAAAATTTTGGTCCCGGTTCCTTGAAATCGCATTTAAGCCGTTTGAAATTTATATTTTCTACTTTTATCAGAAGTCTTTACAAAAGCAAGTTAAAAAAAGAAAGTGTGTAGTCACTTTTGCACACACAGGATTTAATATAATATGTATAGTAAAACATCTCATAATTTAAATTCCCACTTTGTTGGGTGTTTTCACCATTATTCCAGGGCTTGAGTGATAGTGACCACACAATTAAGACTGACACATTGGAGGTACTCAGCAAATACCTGCAGGATGTATACGCTGAATTACATTTTTAAAATTATGCATACCATTTTTGGAAATAGTAATTGGAATGAAAGAAAAAAAAAATGGATAGAATGGAATAGGCCTAGTGGAGGAATGGAAGAAAAAGAGATATATAAAAGAAGTCAGAACCAAAGAAAGGACCAATAAGATTACACAGTGCACACTTTGGAGAGGAAGGAAATTCAGCAAATGAAGTTGATTTTTTTTTTTTAAGAAGAAAATTGAAAGGTAAGAACAAAGAAGGAAAGGAAGAGAAAAAGCACAAAAATCAAATAGATGGGCAGATCGTTAAGTCTGGGAATGTTTCCAGTTGACTCCTGCCATAGTTGCTTTTATATTGTATAGGTGATGTCTTATGATCTTTTCATATCAACTAACCAATTTTCCTTATGAAAAAGTGACTTCAGTTTAGCGATTAAGTGCTTTGAGCAACAAACCATGTACTGTAAATACCGTGGTAAAGTTAAAACACGGGACTGAGGCTTAGTTTTGGCAGCAGTTTGCACCTGCTGTGCTGTTCCCAGTTCCTCCCTGCAGCTTGTCCTGGTGGGCATGGACTGGCCGTGTAGGGACAGCAATTAGACCGATAAAAGGACTGACAGTTTGACCTATTTGTATGCCTTTTTTTAGCCACTTGCATTAATACAGTGTGTTACTCACACACGTAAAAGTTTAAAATAAAGTACTTTGGCTTTCTAATTGGTTTTTCTTGGCTTTTCTCATCTTTTCACTCTACTTTTTCTTCGATTTTTCTCTTTGTTTTACCCCATTGCCAGTTTGGCCTCAAAAATATAAAAACTGCTTCCTAAATGGTGTATATATATATATATATATATTTTTTAAAGGACACTGAAGAACTAAGCAAAAGTTCAAGAATTTCTGCTGTAGCCCACCAATTTTCTATAAATATTGAAATCAATGTATTTGTTTTTGCTGTTGTTACAATATAGCCTTACTGAAATCATACAAAAAGCTGCATTTTGGGGGGGTACCAGGGATCTAACTCAGGACCTTGCGCTTGTGCCTATTTTTATGTACCAATTGTGCACTGGTGTAAAATGGAAATTGCTGAAGAATGGTAGATTTATATGAAGCAATCTGTTTACATCACAGGAGTGCACGGATGGAGCATTGAACTCTGGGTCAAGAGACATCTAGGTGCAGATCACTTCTCTAGTCATAGGGCTTTGGACATAGGCACAGTGTGCCTCGGTTTGTCCACGTGTAAAATGGGAGTGAAATCTGATCTGCCTGTTTCTTTTGGGCCGAGGAGAAAAGAATAGAAATGCAGTAATGGTTGTGAAGATTGTATAAACCTCCAAATGATCTGTGACTGTTATAACTGCTCAAGGAGAGCGTTTGTGACTAGTGCAGTTCATCATACTCCTGGGAACTAGTACCTAGTTCCACAGTTAGTCTTGATAGGGTTGTATCCCTTCATGGTCCCGGTCCAAACAGCTGAGGATCTTTCAGCGTGGTCCATTTCTCTAGCCATGACTTAATGTTCCCACAAGAGGGCAGCAAAACTCCAGTCCAAAGGCTCTGTTACTTCCTCAAAGCTTCCAAAGTTGTTGATAAGAAAACAATTATACTATAAAAAGAATAGTCTTTTTTTGAAAGGGTCTTTAGGCTAGACATGGTGACATATGCCTGTAATCCAGCAGTTGGGAGGTTAAGGCCAAAGGAATGCTGTAAGTTCGAGGCCAGCCTGGTGAGACCCTGTCTGAAAAAATAAAACATCTTTAGATGACAAACTGAACTATCACAAAATAAACACCACAGCCACCATTTACTTATTTTAGTAATACTTTGCTTTCATGTGTCCTCTGAAGAAATAGTTTCTCTAATCTTGCTTTAATGATTTAAACATTCAAAAAACTTTAGCCATGGTTTCCCATTGTGTCACTTAGCAGCAGTTTTTAGTGTAGGTAGAGAAAGAGGAAGGTAAGTTTCTTGGGCCCAGCTCTTCCAGTTTAGATGCCTTGCTAAGTTCAGAAAATGATTCTCAATAGTGTCTATACATAACTTTTTGTCATACAGAGAAAGTGTTGTCCATGTCTAATTTTTTTTTATTCTTTCATTATTTAAATTGGCCTTAAAATTTCCCTGTTCTTTTAAACCTTTAAGTAGTGAGTCATCTGGTAATAACATCAGCAGCTGGCATTTGAACGATTCTTAATGGTGTAGAAAGTGAGATTTAAAAATACAGTGAATGTTTCATGCAGTGAGACGCATTGCCATTAATTCCTCTCAAAAATCCCTCGCTTTAAACACATGTTCCATTATTGCTGCCACTTTCTGAAGCACTTCTGTTATGTCTTAATTTGCTCCGTCGTGTCTACCTTGGTGTCCTAAATGGATTCAAAACGTTTACCTTTCGTGGTCATTTTGGCTTTGGGGAACAATCAGAAGTTACATGGTCCCAGAGCCCGGGAACAGATGAAGACAGTGTAACGTTTTTGTGAGCCTGCATTTAAGCTGGATGACCCTTGACAGCAACACTCACAGTGTGTTTTTTTGTTTTTTGTTTTTTAAATCATGTAAAGACACTGCATTAGAAAGTGGCAAGAAGGATGGGTTGTGTGCATTCAAAGTGAGGGGGAATATTTTGAGGAGGCTTAGTAATGTGTCTTTTACTCCAACAAAATTTTTATTTAATGTTCCTGTGTATTTTGATTTTACCACGTACCAGATACTTTCACACATTGGTCCTCACTACCGCCCTGTGAGGAGGATAGCCACTATCTCAATTTTACGGGGAAATTTTCTCACCTGTAACCAGAAGAGCTGCTGTTTGCTTGAAGAGAAATGTGCAGGGGGGATGTCCCATATGTCAGGAGGGCCCAAGCATGAGTAATTTCTGCCTCTTAATCAGTGCCATAAGAGCTACTTCTGAGCGTGATGTTTTTTCTGTCTTGTACTACAAGAGATGGGATAGGAAGGCTTTCAGTTTTTCAATTCCTTCCACTTTTGCCGGTTCATTTCTGGCTTTGCTCTTCTGGAAAAAAAAAAAAAATCTACCCTCTTTTCCATTCCACCCCCTCTACCACCACCCCCAAGTCAGAGTCGTCTTTCCATTCCAACTAAACCTCTTCCTGTCCTTGAGAATTGCATCACACTCTTGGCTTAAGGTAGGCCAGCACCCCCACACAGGCCCCGGGGAGTGTATAGGCATTCTTTATTGGTTGGATGTTCCTGTCTGCTGAGTAAAGAATAAGTCACTCACTTCCTGACCTCTAGCCCTGACTCTGGAAAAAATACATATACATATTCCTCAGATTTTTATTTATTTATAAGTCCCCTTCACTGTAGCCCTGTTCTAGAATAAGCAAGATATATCCAGTAGGGATAGTGTGAAAAGGCATTTAGGGTACAGAGTATTCTCTGCACCTTGCTGAATGAGTTGTCTCCCTTGGTGTTTCTGATTCTTCACGCCTAGTTTTGTTTTCCACCTAGTCCATATGGCCTTGGCTCCCACTCTATAGAAAGGCCTTTCATTAAGGACTTTTAACGCCACCCTCACCCCTGTATTACTAAATCCAGCCACACATCACCCTTTGTCTTGCTGATACCTGAGCACCATCTAATGCTACTGACCACATCCTCCTTGATTGACTCACTGTATTCCTTTGGTTTGCATTGCACTATTTTTTTTTTTCTTTCTACCTCAGCCATGGATCATCACTATCCTTTGCAAGCTCTTTTTCTCCGTATACCTAGAAAGTGTCGAGATTTCCACAGGACCCTGCTCTATGTTCCTCTGTTCCCTAACCTTCTCTGAGAATATGTCTTTTCATGACATCGTGAGTGACACTTGCATGTCGATGACATCCAAGTGTGCACCTCCCCTGAGCTGCAGGTGCATGTGTTCAGCTGCTTCCTGGAACTTCTCCAGCTAGGAATCCCTGAAGCCACACTAACCAGCTCATTCCTGGAACCCCTTCCTGCAATAAGTATATCCACACACACCACCAGCTGCAGTGGCCGGAAACCTAGCATTCATCCGTGACCACTCTCGCTCACACGCCACGTTCAATCCATAACTGAGGCGCTAGAGTCTCCTCTGAATCTATTCCGCATTCTTGTCACCAACCAGCCGAAATGATCCCCAGCTATGTGGGTTTTTACCCTTTATTTTCCCAGCTTCCTGCCCTACGTTTTTTCCCCTTTTGTTCATCTCCCACCAGCCATCAGTACATTTTTATATAAATGCCATTCTGCTAGATTCATCCCTGCTATTTAAAACCTTTTAGTTGCTTGATAACATCCTCAGGACAGAGTCCAAACTTCTAACCATGGCTCGTAAGCCCTTCATGCTCAGGAACCTCCTGGCGGGCTCTCTTCATACATACTAAGCTCCCACATCTCAGTGTACCCTGCTCCCTCCTGTTTCTAGCCTTTCACAAATGCTATTTCCTTTGCCTCGAGTATTCTGCTACAGGGCCTCAAATGTATCCAGACCAAATTCTACCTCAAATTGCCATCTTATTCCTGAATGAGAACGGAACCTAGGTACTAAATTTTTTTAACCAGTTCTTTAATTGCATGAAAACGTATTTGAACTATTTAACTGGGGATTGACTTGCCATACCTAAATGTAAACTGGAACATGCTTTTACAAATTCTACTGGAATGTTTTCTTCCTTGGTATGACATTCTGTCTTTGGGATTTTTGTTTTCATTTCCAGCTGGCTTCTCCCACTGTCCTTTCTTACCTCTCAGCCCACACCCTCCGGTTGCCCTGCGCCCGTAGGTGGGTCCGGCTTGCATGCTGTGGTAGCTGCTCCGAGGCTGTGGTTAATTAGAACTGCTCAGACTGCAACAGGAAGGCACTGAATCGAAAGCAGAGAGGAGGAAGCACAAACCAATACCCACCACAAAGCTGCCGAGTGCCCAGCCTGACCCAGGCTGCACCCTCCTTGGAGTGTAGTGGAGAAGTAGGCAGCAGGGAGTTCGATACATTGTCAGCACAGCCTCGTCATCCACTTCCCATGATCCAACCTCCCGGGGTCACCATGCACGTCACCGGTAGAAGCGTAAGTAGTGGATACTAACAGAAAAGCCCGCCAGAAATGTAGAGGCTGGGGGAAGATCCCCAAGGGGGAAGCAAATTCCTCTTAGCTCCCTACAGAGTCCAACTCTGAGCATACCAATCCTAGAGTGTTTCTTAGGAGCTCCCTCTATGTGATAATTCCCAGAAGAATGCACCTGTGTTCCTCAAAAATACCTTTGCTCTCTGCCAAAAATCTGTTTTTATTTTTATTTTTTTTTTTGGTAACGGGAATCGAACTCAGGACCTTGCACTTGGGAGGCAGGCAGTGGTACCGCAGAGCTAAATCCCTGGCCCATTGTAATCTTAAATCTGTTTTTAATAGTGGCCCAAACTTTCATTTTGTAATCCAACAAAAGGCACATTTCAAGCTGGGCGTGGTGGCGAATGCCTATAATCCCAGCACTCGGGAGGCTGAGGCAGGAGGATCGCTGCGAGTTAGAGACCAGCCTGGGCTACATAGTGATTTCCAGGTCAGACTCAACTACATAGTGAGACCCTGTCTCAAAAAACTGAAAAAAAAAAGAAGGCACATTTTCATTGGCTTTGCAGTCTTTGCCATGGTGTGTGTGTGTGTGTGTGTGTGTGTGTGTGTGTGTGTGTGTGTGTTAGACAGGGTCTGCTAAATTTGCTAAGTTGC